GCTGGCCAGGCTCGGCCCCTGGGGCGGCCCCGGGGGCTCGGCCGCCTGCAGGGCCGCCTCCGGGGGCAAAGGGCCCGGGTCAGAGGGCAGGGCTGGCGCTGGGCGGACCCGGTTAGTATTCTCAGGAACCTCGCGCGCGTCCCCGGGCGCTGGGAATAGAAAGCGGGCAGCTCGCCAGTGATCCGGGCCGGCGCGGTCACTCCCTTGGCAGTCCTGCCCTGACCCTGCCTCGTCGTTCTTCGGAAGCAGCAGAAAGCTCTCCCTCCCCCTCTGCTGTAGCAGCTGTCGTTCCTGCAGGGCTAAGGCCTCTTAAACTTGTTTCTCCTACAGCCTGAGAGGGGCCGGCTGCAGGCTTCTCTCCTAGGGGTCGACTCGGCCCTCTTCCACCCCCATATTGTTTCTCATTGTCAGCTCTTTACCTTCCTCCGTATTCCCCACTGTGGCTTAGGTTAATGTCCAGCTGTACTGGGATCAGGGAGAAGGGAGCGGGTGACTAACTCTGACGCTAGGCAGCAGTGCCCTATTTAAAAAAAAAAAAAAAAAAAAAGCAGTGAATAACCCTAACCCTTAAACTAAGATTCAAGTTTTCAGGGGGCCACACCTTTGCTGCCTTTCCGTTCTGCAATTTCCTTAATTTCAGCCTGGAGCCTAGTTCAGATCTGAAAAAGACTCCTTTAACAACTATGTGGATACAATGGGCAAGGTGGTTTGTCTGTAGTCCCGGTACTCTGGAGGCTGTGGCAGGAGAATCCCATGGGCCAAGGAGTTTGAGGTCACCCTAGGCAACACAGCAAGATACCGCTCAGTTTCACCCCTCCAAAGTAAACAGTTTGCTTACAGTACAGTGCCAGTGTTGAGACACTCCCAACCTTAAACCTGTTGCTTCACCAGTTTTGCGTCAGCCCTTCACCGTTTAGCATCCTACCCTTAGCCTTACAACGCTGTGAGCGGGTGGGATGAAGCCCCAGAAAACTAGTGGGACGCGTTCCTTTTGACTGAACTCCTAGAGGAGCGTTCCCTTGTGGGAAACACTAAGCGCTGTCTTTTCTGTCAAACGGGACTGACTCCATCTTGGACTCTAGCCATCTTAGATAGCCCTTCCTGAACACCCTAAATTACAGAAAATGCCCACTTGGTTCCAATCCTGGGAACACAGCTACAAACTAGATAGCTTATCATGGGCCAAGGATTTTCTGTTCTTCACAGCCCCCTCCTGCTCTGCTCTCCTTTTCCCTCAGGGTCCCTTTGAGTTAGCCAATCGGAATACACTGTGAACCTCCAAACCAGCCAATGAGAAAGAGGTCAGCTACCTGCAAAACCCGCAACCTTCTTTCGTCCCGGGTCTGCTACTTCAAGTTTGGGGCCTTTTGCAAAAGTAAAAAACCTTGCCTGAGATTACTTGGTGTCTGAGTGCTTCCTTATCTGCACCAATAAATTGAATCTGGGGGCTCGTTTCCAACCCTCTGGAGCTTCCGATGAACCCGCTCTGCAAGGGGGGAATCCTCAAGGGGCCCCTCTTCACTACCCAACCCCTTCTACTACTCTCACCCCACTGTACCCTCAGATATCCTGCCCCAGCTCTGAGTTTGACAGGAAGTGAAACTCTATTGTCTGTTTAGTAGACTAGCCTAGTACCCAGCCCTGGGCCCCGGATGTGGCCCCCCTATCCTGAGGAGGAAGAGAGGAAAGAAGGCAGGGGAGAACAAGCTGTTGTTTTTTCCTTTCCCTTTGTTCATTGTGGTTTCTTTCTTTCTGACTTTTATGATGTGGTTGATTAAAGAAGTGAGCACCTGGAACCTTAGGCATTAGACGCGGCCTCAGATGTTTCTTGGCCTTTCTTCCCCCACCCCCACCAATAACTGCCGGAGTAAAATGGAGCACAGAACCTAATGAAGACATCAAGAAGGCTAGAATAGGACTGGTTCCATCTTACTCCTTGTTAGAGAAATAACTTACAGCCCCACAGTGAAGTTCAATAAAACTTTAAAAGGCTGGACGTGGTGGTGCACACCTGTAATCTCAACACTCATTAGGCTGAGACAGGAGAATCACCGGGAATTCAAGGCCTGCCTGGGCCACGCAGTGAGTTCAGGGTCAGCCCGGACTATAGAGCAAGACCCTACCTCAAAAACAAACATATAATTAAAAAAAAGAAACTTTAAAAGAATGTCTTTAAATTGTGTAGAGAACAAACATATAATTAAAAAAAAGAAACTTTAAAAGAATGTCTTTAAATTGTGTAGAGACTGTTAGAAGAGGGACTACGGACCTCGTCTTATACGTTTACTTAGGGTGGCTCAGGGCAGAGACACATCTGCCGCACACCGGGCCACTCTGATGCAGTCCTTAAACTGAGCTGTTTTTGCCTGAGTGTGGAGCTAAGTACAGGCTCTGGTATATAGCAGCCTTCGAAAGTGTTTGTTGGCTATGACTAAGGACGTCATATAGGAGGACGAAGTTGCTTATGATAAAGAAAAAACTTAAGAATCAAGAGCAAGTGCGGTGGATCACACCTGTAACGCCAGCTACCCAGAGGCTGAGGCAGGAGGATGGGAGTTCTAGGCCAGCCTGGGTTACACAATAAGACCCTGTACAAAAAAAAAAAAGAGAGAGAAGAAAAGGAATGAACAGGGGTGGGGGTGAGCACATACAACATGCTGTAAGCTCTGGGTTCAGTCTCCAGCACTGCAAAAAAAAGAAGGATGAGGAGAGGCAGGGCCCTTGTCTTTTATTAAGACTGTGGATGAGACCTGTACAGTCACAGAGGCAGAGAGACAGGCCCTCCTCCACGCCCGGCGCCACATTCCCAGTTTAGATACAAGAATAATACTCTCACAGCCTGTTACTACAGCCCCCATATTTCTGGTAAAAGTGGAGGAGTTCTTTCAACAAGCCTGTCTGGAATCTATCCAGACCTTCTTAGGTCCCTTTGTTCCCACTAGAGGGCCTTATAAGTGTACTCATTCCTTTTCCTCTCCGACCCCTTTCAAAAATGTGTATATCGTGTGTGTGTGTGTGTGTGTGTGTGTGTGTGTGTGTGTGTGTGGACAGAGATATACAAACACACCCCACATACACATGTACAGGCTTCTGGTCAGAAATCCCCCCACGCCCACACACACACCCGTCAGGTGTAAAAAGGGCGATTCCAGGAACCCAAGGCACTGGTACTCTGCCCTACTTCCATGAAGGGCAGGAGGGCGCTCACAGGGGTTGGGGCGGGGCCAGGGGGCAGGACGCCTGGGTCTCCGTTCCTACCAGCAAGTCCGTGGGCCTCTGTCTCTCCCTCTTGCTGTACCAGCCTCAGCACCACCCATGCCGCCCAAGAGCCTTGAAGCTCCTGAACCGCCTGGAGGCAGAAGCTGAACGCAGCTCCTTTGTGCCCCTACTTTGCGCTAGGGCCTTCTGCACCACCTGCAAGGTCAGCGGGTAAAGTGGCAGGGTTAGGGCACGGAGGGAGGGCACACACAGGGCAGTGTTCTTTGCACCCAAACCGCCACCCTAAAACTAAGGCGAAGATATGCATCTTGCGAGGAAGAGGTGGCCTGCCTCGGGAGGGTAGGCGGGAAAGGGAGGTGAGGAACCTGGCGGAGGAAGCGGGCGGACTGTCTCCAGCAGTCAGGCGGTGCGGGGCCGCGCCGGGAGGGCACGGAGGGGTCCGGGCGCGGGCTGCGCAGTGCGGCCCGCGGCCCTGCCCGGGCTGGGGTCTCGGGCGTGTGCGCTCCGGGTGATGCAGGGCGCGGCTGGGAAGTCCCGGGCGGCAGCGGTCAGGAGGGGAGCGAAGGGCGGCCGCCTGGATGCGCAGCTGCCAGTTCTTCCAGCCTCGGCCTCCCCGCTGGGCGTGGAGGGTCGCGACGCGGGGAAAGCAGCGCAGAGGCAGGGCTGCCGCGGGCGGCCGCGGGTGCGG